GTTAAATGTGTATATCAATGTTAATATCAAATATATATATATATATATATGTATTTTGAAAATGTTTGTTGATTAAATATGCATTATGGATGAAAAGGTTTGATTGTTAAATTTGTAGGTTTGTTGGTTAAATAGATAGATTTAAAAAAATGAAAGAGATTTGGTGAATAAAAAAAAATGTAAATCCAAATCCTACAAACCAAACAGAGGAATGGATTTCAAATCAAATCCAAATCCTGCAAACCAAACACAGGAATGAATTTTAAATCCAATCCAATCCAAATCCCATGAAATCCAAATCCCTTCAGGAATCCAAATCCCTCAAAACCATTCCTGCAAACCAAACGCACCCTAAAAGATACATTCTTATCATAATACACTTCATATAATACAATTAAAATACATTTTAAAATAAATTTAAAAATATATACTTAAAAGTATATTTATAAATAAATTTAAAATACAAAATAAGGGCCGGTCCCAGAAGAGAAATGTACCTAATTAGCTCTGATACCATGTTAAAAGATTTAAACACGGTAGAAAAATTCTTTATTTCAATCATATACAAATAATAACAAACAAATTACAACTAAATACAATGAAGTATAATAGATCTATTATTAAGAACAATATAAAGATCTAAAGAACAATGTATAAATTGAAGAAGAAAGTAAAAGATCTAAGAATGTAGAGAGGGTAGTTTAGAGAGAAAAAGAGAGTTGTGTGTAACTAAAGTAGATGAAAATGAATGAATGAATTAGCCAGATGACGAAATGCCTCCTTTATATATCTTTGAGAATTAACAACATTAGCCCTTGAAGATCTTGACTGAAAACTCCACTACCCTTCTAAAATCCCCATAAGTGAGGCACAGTAATTCACCTTTTACATCCAAAATATCTTTGAATTAATGACATAATCTACCCCAACCCGTTAACCTGTTATCAAACAACTCTAACAGAGCTAAGTTAGTCAAGATTGGATATAACAGTATCTTTCAACATATAGGTCTTAGTAGTTGTTAATGTTTTGTATCGAGTATTAATAGGTTTCAGCATTGTTAATGATTTGTATTAGAGAGGTCCCGGGACCAGCGGAGGTCCGGACCTCCGCTGGTCAAGGGCTAATGTTGTTAATTCTCAAAGATATATAAAGGAGGCATTTCGTCATCTGGCTAATTCATTCGTTCATTTTCATCTACTTTAGCTACACACAACTCTCTTTCTCTCTCTAAACTACTCTCTCTACATTCTTAGATCTTTTACTTTCTTCTTCAATCTATACATTGTTCTTTAGATCTTTATATTGTTCTTAATAATAGATCTATTATACTTCATTGTATTTAGTTGTAATTTGTTTGTTATTATTTGTATATGATTGAAATAAATCATTTTTCTACTGTGTTTAAATCTTTTAACATGGTATCAGAGCTAATCAGGTACATTTCTCTTCTCTTTTACATCTGTTATGTTCTAAAATCAAATAAGTGAAAGGCTAGGGTTCATTGGTTTATGAGCTCTCAATATCTCGTTTTCCACATCTCGCCTTGATGTTTGTTTTTGTTTTTCCTTTCCTTTTCGTATGTGAATGAGATGACCAATTGGGTTGTAAGATCATTAAGATCGCTCAGATTTGTTTTTGGTCCCCTTTCGAGATCATTTTCTTGCTTCCTCATTCTTGTTTCTATGAATATTGCTTCGTTGAATCATTGTGTTCTTATGGTAAAACATTAAGTTTGCTCAGATTTTCATTTCTTTTTCATTTGTGTCCAAGATCTGTTTAGTTGGAGTTTTTTGTTGTTGGAATGTGTTGTGCCCTTTTTTGCTCCATCCTGTATCCTCTCTATACAAATGATATGACTGATTGTGTTATGTACCATAAAAGATCGTTTATATCTTCTTCTTGGTCCCCTTTCGAGATCACTTGTTTGCTCTTAGTCACGTTGCATATTTACATTTGCAGATCTAGTTTATTTTGTCACAATGTTGTATTTGTTATCTGAAATATGTTGATTGGCCTTCTTTAAGTTCTTTGTTATTGGCCTATATTGTTCCATGATCGAGTGGGTTGTATTCTTTTTAGATCCTTTGGATCTTTTGTGGTCCCCTTTCGTGATCTATATTTGTATGCTTGAATCTATTATTGTTTAGCTCTTTGTCTGTTGGATCTATATCTGGTTTTTTTAAGTCAAGATCTGTGTCCTTCCAGATCTGGCATTTGTTCTATTATTCTTGTTATAGTTGTTGTTGTTGCCTTCTTATAAGTCAACATCTCTGTCCTTTCAGATCTGGCATCTGTTCTGTTTAACTGGTTGTTGTTGTGTTAATATCTGTTTGTTTTTGTTCAGATCGTTCCTGGCTTGTTTCTTCTTATTTGTTCCTTATTTTGTTCTTTTATCAAAATTTAAAAGGAATCTATGGTAAGGCCTGTTGTGTGGTTGGTTGTGATGTTCTTTTCCCTTTTCTCATTTATCTCTTGTGGAATCTGAATAGTTGGCTTGACCTAGCACGATTACAGTGTTTTAGGAATCCTGCCTCTAAGCTATTCAGTCGTTCCTGTGTGTTCTATTTTTTCTCTTTCATGGAAACTTCACTGTCAACCTGCAAGTCCAATGGAATCCAAAGTCACAAAATTAGACTTTGGAGATCCACTGTACTTGCATCCCAGTGATATTACTGGAGGCTCCATTTGTCCTTTAAGCTCATTGGGACTGAAAATTACAGAGTTTGGTTTTGTTCTATGATTTTAGCGTTAGAAACCAAAAATAAAATCGGATTCATTGATGGAACCTGTCCGCGACCTATAAACGACCTTGTCTTAGAAAGGCAGTGGGACCGTTGTAATTATGTGGTTCTCTCATGGATCTTAAGTTCCATGACTGAGGATCTATTTTTAGGACAGGTGTTTTCTAAAGTTTCCTCCCAAGTTTGGGAGGAATTAAAAGAAACATATGACAAGGTAGATGGTTCTGTTACTTTTAATCTTTATCAGAGAATTAATTCTCTAAGCCAAAATAACATGTCTGTTTCTAAGTACTATCATAAGTTGAATTCTTTTTGGAAACAGTTTGATGCGCTTGTAAAACTTCCATCTTGTACTTGTAAGGCTTCCCATGATTTTCTGGAACACAATCAATTGATAAAACTTATGCAGTTTCTTATGGGTCTAGATGATGTATATCAACCAATTAGAAGTAACATTTTGACTAGATATCCTCTTCCTTTGGTTAAAACTGCTTATTCTCTTGTTTCGAGAGAAGAATCTCATAGAGGAGCAAATCCAAATCAAAATCGGGTTAAACCTCAAAATTTAGCTCTTTTGAGCAAAGGCTTTGACGATAAAAGAAAACCAAAAAGAACCGCTACCAATCTTGTTTGCAAACACTGTGGCACCATAGGACACACTATTAAACGTTGTTTCAAACTAATAGGGTTTCCCAAAGATTTCCAAAACCGTCCAAGATCCATGAATCAAAATCAAAATTTTAAACCTCAAAATCCTAGTTTCAGACCCACTGTTGGAAATGTTTCTACATTAAAATCTGTTTTTCCTAAACCTTCTTTTGCTTTTTGAGAGGAACAGGTTGCAAAAATGATGAGTTTAATTGATCAAAATCCTACCTCTGATGGAGCTACTGCCAATATGCCAGGTATGTTTCAAAATTACAAATCTGGTTGGTTAATTGACTGAAGGGCTAATCAACATATGACTTCAAACTGTTTGGACTTAGAAAACATTGTTGATGTTACTGATTTAGATCTTAGTGTTAGTAATCCAAATGGAACTAAGGCTAATATAAATAAGATTGGGAACCTGAAATTATCTAACAGTGTTACTCTCTTTGATGTTCTAGTGGTTCCTGAATTCAATGTCAACCTGTTATCTGTTCATAAGTTGGCTAGGGATATTAAGGTGTTTATAAGATTTGATAAGTCTAAGTGTTATGTTCAGGACTGTCATGAAAAGAGTCTTGTGGGGACTGGTAGTCAAGATGGAGGTCTCTATTTTTTTTATCAGAATACTAGCAGTAATCTTTCACTCCCTTCTAATAAATGTGGTACAGTATGTTTTGTCTCCTCTCTATTATGGCACAGTCGCCATGGTCACCCAGCTGACCAAGTGCTTCAAGTTTTGAAAGAAAAACTCAATATTGGTAATGAAGGCTTGGTCCATGTGAAGTTTCCCACAAGGCAAAACAAACACGTGAAAAGTTTGGTTCGAGAACTCACAGATCCGTATGTCTTAGTGAACTTGTTCATCTAGATGTATGGTGTCCATACCATGTTCAAAGTAGGGAAGGTTACAAATATTTTCTAACGATTGTTGATGACTTTTCTCGGGCTATTTGGATTTATCTTTTAAAAGGAAAATAAGAAGTTGGTGAATATATTGAAATTATTTGTAATTTGCTTTATACTCAGTTTGGAAAATTTGTTAAAACATTTAGAAGTGATAACGGTACTGAGTTTACCAATCACAAGCTAAGTGAGTTTTTTGAATCAAAAAGGATAGTTCATCAAACATCGTGTATTTACACACCCCAACATAATCGAGTAGTTGAACGAAAACATAGACATTTACTAAACATTGCTCGAGCTCTTATGTTTCAGGGTGGAGTCCCGCTCAATATGTGGAGTGAATGTATTTTAACTGCCACATATCTAATAAATAGAATTCCCACTTCTGTCTTAAATGGTAAGAGTCCATATGATCTCGTGTATAGCTTTTAGCTAGTTCTTACTCATCTTAGAAGTTTTGGGTGTCTTTATTTTATGCATATACCCAATGTTATGGACAAATTTTCTTCTAAATTTGAAAATTTTGTTATGTTGGGATATGCAAACTCAAAAAGGGGGTATAGGCTTTATAGCCTTGATACCAAAAGAATTATATTTTCTAGAGATGTCAAGTTCTATGAAAATGTTTTTCCTCTTAAGATGAGCATGAATATGATTGATCAAGTTAACATTGATGGTCTCAACAATCTCAATTTCTTCGATAATTTGTCTGATTCTTCTAATGATTCCGATGTTTTGGCATCCGATGATGAGACTAGAGAACCCATGGTTAATGATAGTAATGGTCAATCTGGTTCTAGAGACAGTAACCATAGAGAACTAGGTAGCCTATCCGGAGCTAACAATGGACAGCCGTTAGGAAGCTCTTTATTTCAAAACAAGGTCTTCCTCAGATCAATGACCTTGATAGAGTTACCAGTTGGCAGCCTTTGGGTAGCCCTGTAATAGTTGTCAGTTTTCCTCGTGATGCTGTCTCACAAACTGAAGGTGTTATTAATGATGACAATGATGTTTCTTTGGGTCATATCTCTAAGGGTATTCAACCCCAAAATCAATCCATTAGAAGATCATCTAGACCTAGCAATTTCCCTCATAAATTTGACGTTTTTGTTGTTGAAGGCAAAGTTAAGTATGGTATAGAGAGGGTTGTCAACTATTCTTGTTTGTTGTCTGAAAATTTGTGTTTTGTTTCAAATTTAAATAAGTCAATCGAACCCAAGACCTTTAAGGAAGCATGTAGTGATCAAAACTGGATAAAGGCCATGAATGATGAAATGGAGGCTTTGTATAGAAATGGAACTTGGTATATCACTAAGTTACCTAAAAACAGAAAAGCAATAGGTTGTAAGTGGGCTTATAAAATCAAATATAAATCTACTGGATAAATAGAAAGATATAAGGCTAGGTTAGTTGTTAAAGGTTATAGTTAGAGAGAAGGTTTTGATTATGAAGAGACTTTCTCTCCTGCTGGTAAGATGGTCACTGTGAGATGTATCATTGCTTTAGCTATTCAATTTAATTGGCCCTTTTATCAATTAGATGTTAACAATGCTTTTCTATATGGTGACTTAATTGAAGATGTGTATATGACTTTTCCTGAAGGATACTATAATTCTAATGATAGTCGTGTCTGTAAATTAGTTAAGTCTTTGTATGGCTTAAAACAAGCCCCTCGTCAGTGGTATGCTAAGCTTTCTTCGTGCTTAATTGAAAATGGTTTTGTTCAAAGCATTAGTGATCTCTTTGTTCACAAAAAAGGTTGACTCCATATTTCTTGTTCTTCTTGTCTATGTGGATGGCATTGTTATCATTGGAAATAGTTTAGTTGATATAAACAATTTAAAGAATTCTTAAAGAGTAACTTATGTGGAAATAGTTTTTAATCAAAGATTTGGGAAAGTTAAAACTCTTTTTAGGAATTGAGATTTTTTACTGTATTGATGGAGTATGTATGTCTCAAATAAAATATTACTTAGAGTTGCTAAATGATTTTGATATTTAGGATGCAAACCCATAAATACTCCCATGGACATGAACTTGGTTATATCTGACTTTAATAACTCAAAGGATTCTTCTTTACTAGACTGCTTTGGATATCAAAGATTAATTGGTAGATTAATCTATCTACTAGCAACTAGGCCTGATATAGTTTTTGTTGTACAATGCTTAAGTCAATTCATGCATGCTCCAAAACAATCACATCTGAATCTTGCTCTAAGAATTCTCAGGTATCTCAAACTTTCTCCTGGAAAATGAGTTAGTTTCACAAGGTTAGAAAACTTTTCTTCAAGTGCCTTTGTAGATGCAGATTGGGGTAAGTGTCTCTCTACTAGACGATCTGTTACAGGTTACTGTTTGTTTCTTTGAAATTCTATGATTTCGTGGAAGAGCAAGAAACAAAACATTGTTCCTCGTTCATCCACAGAATCAGAATATAGAGCCATGACTTCTATTCTTGTGAAATTGTTCGGGTTTTGAAAATTCTGTCTGATCTTGATATAAAGAATCTTCTTCCAGTTAATCTATTCTGTGATAACAAATCTGCTATCCAAATTGCTAATAATCTTGTTTTTCATGAAAGAACAAAACACATTGAAATTGATGTACATTTTATTCGTGAAAAAATTAACAGAGGCGTTTTAGAAATAGTGAAAATTTCTTCTTCTGAACAAACTGCTGATATTTTAATTAAAGCCCTTAATATAAATCATCACAATTATTTGTGTTCAAAATTAAAGATGATTGACTTGTTCAAAAGTCAAGATTGAGGGCGGGTGTTGAAAGATATTGTTATATCCAATCTTGACTAACTTAGCTCTGTTGGACTTGTTTGATAACAGGTTAACAGGTTGGGGTAGATTCTGTCATTAATACAAAGATATTTTGGATGTAACAGGTGAAGGACTGTGCCTCACTTATGGGGATTTTAGAAGGGTAGCAAAGTCTTCATTCAAGATCTTCAAGGGCTAATGTTGTTAATTCTCAAAGATATATAAAGGAGGCATTTCGTCATCCAGCTAATTCATTCGTTGATTTTCATCTACTTTAGCTACACACAACTCTCTTTCTCTCTCTAAACTACTCTCTCTACATTCTTAGATCTTTTACTTTCTTCTTCGATCTATACATTGTTCTTTAGATCTTTATATTGTTCTTAATAATAGATCTATTATACTTCATTGTATTTCGTTGTAATATGTTTGTTATCATTTGTATATGATTGAAATAAAGCATTTGTCTACTGTGTTTAAATCTTTTAACAAAGACCTAATAAAGTTCATTAATGAAACACCTAGAATTTCATAACTTGACTAACTGGGAATTCTGTTCGTGTCGTAATCAAGAATATGCCTTTATCAGTGTCGGTAAGGACCCCTGCAAGTTAGACCTAGAATCGATTAGCGAGCGGAGAACTTTTGGCTCCTGGGAGGCATGACAGAGAGAATCCAACTATTCTTGAATTATGTGTCAATATTCTATGAATATTTTGTGTTATTCTTTGTATAGTTAAGCTAGAAAACTCAACATTTTTCCTGTATTGTACCCTCCTTGTTATAGATAAATGAACGAATGAGAAGACCAAAGGGCAAAGCCGATTTACACCATCTTACAATATTATTGACTTTTAGGTATAAACTATATTACATCAAGTCAAAATGGTGGTTTTCACAACTTGTTTAATTTATTGTCATTATATCATTTAAAAGGAGGTAATTTGTAATCATTCAGATGATATAGAAAATATATATACCGTTGTATCTATACTATATTATAAAGCATTTGTCAAAAGCTCTTAAAAATTATTTTTTATGCATGAAGTATTGTATATTGATGCATATTACTTAAAATTTAAAATTACAAGTAAATTATGCGTTAGTACAACTTATTAAAGCTCCATATTTGAATTCGTGTAACTAACTGCGGATAAATATAATCAAATAGAGGATAAACATCTCATTTTAAAATATAAAATATAAATAATCTAAAATATGATTAGGATAATTATCGAGTTATAACAAAATAATTAATTATTATTTAAAAAAAATATAAATTACTTCGTTATTGAACTTAAATTAAATTATAATAAAAAATTGAATTACAAAATTACACAAAAACTATGAATTTTAAATTATTAATTTGATACTAATATCGATATATTTTTGTCAAAATTTTATGATATCTTCAAGTTTATATTTTATTCAAAAATAAAAACATAATCGCTTTTTCAAAATCACATAAGATCATACTATAACATCGACTGAGATAAAGAATAAAATAAAATATTAAAATCAAAATGTATCTCATTGTATTACACAAATACTTTTCTAATATTACATAAAAAAAACAATATTATATAATATATATATTCAATTTAGGATCCAATTCGAGATTTCCTTCATACCTTTAGAGCACAATCAATCTTTATTTGATCCCCCTTTACTTGTGGAGCCCATCTTGAATTCTGATACAACCGTTCTTGTTTTTCTTTTCTACCGCTCTTGCGTCCCGTCAATTCCTCTGAAATCCAAGGGATCTTTTCGTAGGCGTTTGCACCCGATGATATCATAATCATAAATTGTTCCAAAAAGTTGTTCTACTTAGAGGAGACCTCCAACAGATTGTATCAGAATTGAAGCCATGGACTTCCATCTCCCATTTCCAGCAACTGTAGCACTCATCTTCTCCATGGCGTTACTAGCTTCCCTACTCCAAACCTTCAACAGAAAGAGTAGGAATAACAGAAACCCACCTGAAGCCAAGGGCGCATGGCCTGTAATCGGACACCTACACCTACTTCATCGATCTCACCTACCTCACAAGGTTTTAGGCGCCATGGCTGACACATATGGCCCCATCTTCACCATCAAGCTTGGTGTTTGCCAAGCTTTAGTAGTAAGCGATGCAGATATGGCTAGAGTCTGCTTCACCACAAACGATTTGGATTTCGCGAATCGACCCACAACGGTGGTAACAGAGCTCTTGGGCTGTAACTCTGCCAAGTTCAGTTTCGCTCCATATGGGGATTACTGGCGAAAACTCCGCAAAATCGTCACGCTCGAGCTTCTCTCTCAACGACGAGTTGAGATGCTTGGATATATTCGAGTTTCAGAACTCAGATCCGCCACGAACGATATCTACGAAGCTTGGGTGATGAACAATTCAGATCTGGTGAAGGTGGAGATGAAACAATGGTTTGGGAACTTGATACTGAACATTGTAGTGAGAAGTATATCTGGAAAGAGATTTTCACCCAACGATGATGAAGGTGTTCGATTCCAAGCTGTGGCAAGGAAATATTTCAAGTTATTGGGGGCATTTATTGTGTCTGATTTCATCCCTTTTTTGAAGGGTTTGGATGTTGGTGGATATGAAAAAGCCATGAAAGTGACAGCAACAGAGATGGATAACTTCTTTGATCAATGGTTGAAGGAGAAGAAAAGAGAGAAAGAGTCTGGTGGAGGCAATCAAGTGTTCATGGATGTATTAATTTCCATTCTTGAAGATGCTTCAGAAGAGGATTTCACTGGTTTTGATCATGACACAATTATCAAAGCTTCATGTCTGGTAAACATAACAATATCTAATCTGATTTCAATTCGCAATTTACAAAAACTCTTGAAAATAATTTTTTATATATTTATGAATGTATATTACTTAAAATTCACAATTATAATTAATCTAAATACAATTTATTAAAGCTTTATTTTTGAATTTATGTAGTTAATTACGGATAAAAATAATCAAATATATGATAAACATCTTATTTTGAATATAAAAAATCAAAAATATAATTAGGATAATAATTAAGTTCAAACACAATACTTAATTATCTTTATAAATGATTATATTATTAAACCAAAAATAAATTATTTTGTTATTAAACCTAAGTTAAATTATCATAAAAATTGAATTAAAAAAATTACACAAACAAACGAAAATTTTTAAATAGCTAATTTGATATTAATATCAATATTCTTTTATCAAAATTTTAATGTCTTCAAATTTATATTTCATTCAAAAATAAAAACATCATTGTTTTATCAAAAACACATAAAACCGTTTATATCGACAAATACAAATAATAAAACAAAAGATTAAAATCGAGATGTATATCGCTGTATTGCACGAGTAACTTTTTAGTATTTCTAAAAACTGATAGAAAACATCAAGAATTCCGGCTATTTTGTTGAATTTGAAGTAGGATATTGATTTTTAGGATATTAGTATGGTCTCAATATAACAAAATCTGACAATTATATAGTAGTAAGTTTATTGGATCAAATAATATATAATGTATCAACAAGGGTTGGGTTTCGATGAGAATAGAAGTTATGGTGAAAAACATAAGAAGAGATATTCACCTTCGAATCAACCCTAATTGAATGTCAACACTAATGAGGTGCACCAGATCAATTTTCTTCTAAAGCACAATTCATGGATGAACATGAGATTAAAAGAGATCAATGGTTCATATCTCTTGTTACGCTTATCACCATAAATTCGCCATAGAACAATAAGATGATAGGATGGTATTGGGTGTTCTAACAAACAGGTCTTAAAATCCTATTGTAATATCTTGAGATAGGACGTTCAATTGTTTTGTTTTTGTTTCATCCTATAAAGTCGATTCTGTTGTGGTGTCTATTTGATTAACCTTACCTAGTACTAGTACCATGAGCAAACAAGCTGCTTAGTAAATTGGTCTAAATTCCATTTCACAGGCACTTCTAACAGCAGGTTCGGAAACGACAACCGTGACTCTAACATGGGCTTTATCTCTGTTGCTCAACAATCCAAAGTCGTTAAAAATTGCCCAAGATGAACTCGATGAGCACGTTGGAAGAGAGAGACTCGTTGAGGAATCGGACATCAAGAACTTGTCGTACCTCCAAGCTATCATCAAAGAAACACTGCGTTTATACCCACCTGGACCTCTCTCGGTCCCACATCATTCTAGAAACGACTGCATTGTCGCTGGCTACAACATCGCTAAAGGCACTCGATTGTTTGTAAATCTTTGGAAATTGCATCGTGATCCTAAAGTTTGGTCGGATCCCAACCTATTTCAGCCAGAAAGATTCTTAACAAGCAAAAAAGACATTGATGTGAAAGGCAACCATTTTGAACTGCTTCCATTTGGTAGTGGCAGAAGAATGTGTCCTGGTGTTTCTTTTGCTCTCCAGTCGTTACATTTCACTATGGCTACTTTGTTACAACAGTTTATGCTAAAAAACCCATCCGATGAACCGATTGATATGAGCGAGAGCTTTGGAATGACCAACTTGAAAGCAACGCCTCTTGATGTCCTTCTCACCCCTCGTTTATCACCTTGTATGTATCATGTTGATGCATAATATATCTCTTAGTTTCAAATAATCGACAATTCAAATATCATGTTTTATGTAATGAATGTGTGCATATAATGTATACATCTTGTTTAATAAGATGTCTTAACGTTTATCTGTTGATGGTCCTGCCTACACGTTTTCCGGTGCGGTAAGAATTTTATAGCCTAACCTGGGTGCGGTAAGAATTTTATAGCAGCTCCTCCTACATGTTTTTTTGATTGATTGCTTTACCTTACCTCTAAGAATGGATGGTTAAAATTTGATGATATATCAAAAGAAGGTTAGTCAAACAAGCTCAAATATTAGTAGGTTTGTGAAATTTGATGATGCTCACCAACTGTTTGATAAAATGTCTGTGGCCAAAGATCAGATGAATGGGATGGCAAAAATGATTCTAACTATGCACAACACATTTTGCAATGATTCTTCTCATCTATTGTTGAATTGCTCAATAACGTTGATGCACGTGGTGCAACAAGAAACATCTGAGGCAATATGATCGCCTCCGACTGCTATAAACACCCAAGGCCTTCTATTAATGATTACTACAAACATCAATGAAGACCAAATTCTGTTGCAGGGTCTATCAACTTTGACAAGAATGGTCTTGTCTAAGAATGGTCCTTTCTTCCACCACTAAGGGGCATATCCAAGGACCAAACAAATTTTGGTAATAGGCCATAAATCGTGTTATCTGTTCGAGCTAGTTTATCTGTGTCTACCTCAACATTCATCGACTATCTTCGTTGCTTCCCTAGCTAGTCTTTCATCATTTGATACTTGGCATGCACATTTAGGTCATGTGTCAATTGCTACACTTAAACCTTTTGATTGTTTTTAGAATCTTGGGAATTGTTAAACTTGACTGTAAGTTTGGTTTGCAGGGTTGTTTTTTAGAGTTTTGGATTTCATAGAGGGATTTGGATTGGAATGGATTTGGAATCCTTTTTATGTGTTTGGTTTGTAGGATTTGAAATGGATTTGAATTCCATTCTACACTTTTAAAACTAAAATCGGGACTAAGGGGTCGTTTACCTAAATGCTTACCTGGTAAGGTAAGTGGTTACCGATAGGAATCAACATTATAATTTCTTTTGATGTAAGATTTTAGTACATCAAAACATATTGAATTCAACAAGTTACTGGGTAAGAGTCGTCATCCTTACTTACCGGGTAAGACTTTCTATCCTTTTCATTGCTCTTACCCGGTAAGATTTTTGGTCCTTCTCATGTTCATCCGATAAGGAAATTTATCCGCTAAGCACTTACCAAGTAAGTGTTTAATAAACAACCCCTAATACTCTTTATTATAGATTCAAATTGCTTGAATGCATCATCATGAAGTAGTCAACATCTCATTTTCCCCTCAAAATCTTCATTCCAGAACCCATACCATCATTTTTGAATATTTTTATGTGTTTCATTGCCTTTCATACAACTCAATGTCATTTCTTGAGTTGCTGTTGTGGTGCTTTATCATAAGCAAGTTGTTAAATCCATTTTAGATTTAATGCGGTCATTTCTCACTACAATAAAATTGGGTTTATAGGACACATCCGATCTCTAAGCGTCCCAATAGACGGCTTTATAAGACTTAATTTATATGACCAAAATATAAAGCGTCCTATCTAAAGGTGTTGTAATAAGTTTATATGACCCTCTTGGGTGTCTTAATAAGTTTTTTAAAACATTTTTAATACAAAATGTCGCATTAGCAACTTCATATGACACTTTTGAGAAAGTGTCCTATAAACTCAATTTTTTATAGGACATTTGTTCTTATAAGACAGTTTTCAAATAATGTTTTATAAAGTTGCTAATGAAATGTTTTATATTAAAAGTGTCCTAAAAAACTTATTACGACGTCAAAAAACGTCATATAAACTTATTACAACGCCTTTAGATAAGACACTTTATTTTTTTGGTCCTATAACTAAGTCTTATAAAGAAGTCTATTAGGACACTTAAAAATTATGAACGTCTTATAAACCCGATTTTATTGTAGTGTCTGTATATGAGACTCGTCTTGACATTTTAAAGGTCATGTACAAAAACCTAAATATGGCCCTATATTTTTCTTTTCCAGTTATATTATTTATCAATTTTTTATTAATAAACTCAAAATTAAATCCTTTTGGTTTAGAATATACATGGAAATATAAAATAATCATAAACAAGATACAAATACAAATTAGTTCGACATTTATAACATTGTATTAATGCTCATAAATCTCATATATTAATCTCTTGGTAAGAGTAAAAAGGTTAATTAGTAATAAAACTAAAAATGTGTGATAAATGTGTGATTGTCTAACCCTAACCGATCGAAACCATGATCAAATCGAGTGCGCTGTTATGATAGTGATATCACATGATTATCACACCCATATCACACCAAATCGGTAGTCGATTTTCTAAGTTAACCCCTAGCCGAGCGGAATCCTTGTGATAATTGTGTGATAATCACATGATTATCACACCCACATCACACCCAAATCACACCAAATCGTGTTGATATAAGCGATAATGTGACAATCACATGATTATCACACCCAAATCATGTTGATATAAGCGATAATGTGATAATTGTGTGATAATCACATSMWTATCACACCCAAATYACACCAAATMKTGTTGATATAAGCGATAATGTGATAATTGTGTGATAATCACATGATTATCACACCCATATCACATGATAATCACATGATTAACCGTTTGTTAGATAATGATAATCATTATCGTGTAATCGTGTTAAAAGATTTTATGATATCATTTCCATTATTACCCTTTTAATTTTAATATTTTTTGAATCTTTTTAAATTTCAATTTTAATTTTAAAAATCTTTTAATTTTATTTTTTATTACAATATGAGGTTATTGGGTTGTTCTCGTGTTCTCGTAAATCACAAGGGTTCTCGTTTAAACTCTTCCCTATATATATATATATATATATTAATTTATTTATTATAATTTAATGGCATTACCATCACCCATATTTAGATAATTTAGCAAATTCATTTTCAAAAACCAACCTGTCCAATCGAAAAATATTTTCAAGTTTTCATTATATTTGTAAGTTAAGGTGACGTTTGTTTTTTAAGAGATGTTGAAGTCTGAACTCTGATTTCACTTCTGATTTTTAAAAAGTGATGCTGAAGTCTGAATTCTGAATTAGTCAGACTGTTTGTTTTTAAGTCTGAAATGTGAAATCTGAATCAGTCAGACTGTTTGTTTTTACGTCAGAAGTCTGAAATCTGAATCAATTCATTTCAATTAAATTCAATTGAAATATCATCTATTTTTAATACATTAAAAAATTCAACTGAAATACGTCAATTGATTCAACACACAATAGAAAACACGAACAAAGTCTCATAACAACTACAATCAATATTCATTTTGCATTAATTGTGTCGCAATTTCTTCCCTTAAACTACCCATACATGTTTGGTCAACGGCACTCCCATGCGATTGAACATCTTCAGCCTCATGCTCATCATCGTTCCCTTGCTCGTTGGTTTGATCATACTCAGAAAATAATTCATCACTTAAACCTTCCTTTTGTATGAAGTTGTGAACATCAAAACATGCAATAAACAACGTCTCTCTGAACCTCAAGTGTAAATGGTGTCATTCTTTTCAATATCGGAAAACGTGCTTTCAGCACATTATAAGAACGTTCCATAACATTTCTAAGTTTTGCATGAGAATGATTAAACTTTTCATACTTGTTCATTGCTCGTCGACTACAAAAATCTCCGAGCCAATATCTAACATTACGATACGGCGCCATAAATCCTTGAGTATTTGTATACGCAACATCACATAGATAATATTTATCTGAAAACAATAAATAAAATGTTTGTTCAAATGAATAGTAAATATATTACTTGTATAATCAATAGCATACCTTAAGGAGGAAATGGAAATCCAATAGCACCATCTGTTAAAGCTTCAGACAAAACTCTAGAATCACAAGCATCTAGGGATTGGAAGATCTCATTTGGGATCGCCATGATCAACAACCTTTTGGCCTTTCAATCAATTTCGACTCTCTTTTTGTCTTTATCATTCTAGTCCTTCCTTTCCTTAAGGATTCAGACAGCAGGAATTTCAGCATTGGTAACAATGGAAGGGATTCTTTGTATAACAGTCATGGAGACGTAAGGTCCATTTTTGACAGATTCATAAAGCTCGAGATCGAAACCTTCATAAAAGTTGATCATTTGGATTTTTTCATTGGGGATATTCATCTCTAATGAGAGTAAGAGGTTTTGTAAGACAACCGACATTTTACATTGAGTTCCAAGTTTGGTTCAACATGTTTGAAGAAAAACATAGTATGAAAAAGAACTTGAGGCTAGAAATGGAATAACAGAACTTCACCAAAAACAACTTGGAGAAATAGTTTGAAATACACTAATCTTTAAAGAAATGAATGAGATCTACAGATTTACAGAAGGATAGCATGAAGTGCATAAACTCAGAAAACAGAGATCTGGAATGAACTACGATTTCAAAGAAAAAAATAACCAAGCAAATGAGGAATAATCCTAAACATATTGGATCCAACTAACCAACAGACTGATTAGATGGATCTTATACCAATTGTAGGAACCCAAAACCCCAAATGCACTAGTAATTAATGCTTAAGTCAACTAGTGAGAGGAAGCAAACAACAAGAATACTAGATTGGTTACTACAAAATGACAATAGCACAGTAATGAAGAACAATTATCTTTTGGGAAGTTGTCAAATCGGTTGTATTTCAATTTCTAATGAGAATAGACAATTACACCAAGAACACACAGTTTTGTGTGAACATAAAATCTCTCAATTAGCTAATTTCTCACAATTGTGATATTTTCTCTCTCAACTATGGTAGGAGTGCGTCTTCAATTGGTAATGATACCCTTAGAGGAATTACCTTTTTATAGGCGTTTCCAGAAAAAGGCATCTTCTAGAAATGGCATCTGTGGAAAGCCAATGCGTCCTCCAGTCTGCTATCTCCACACGCCTTGATTGTTGTAACCGTTTCTACATATGTGTGATAAGAAGATTGGACCACTTGTGATAAAGAGACAGGCCATGGAACCTTCATGTAGACAGGCGAAGTTTGAGACCCAAAGGCTCTGCATATGTTATGCAAAGGCTCTGTGTCTGTGACTCGAGCTCTACATCCCAAGTACTTGCACCATTGGCACATGACTTCAGTCTTTAATCTCCTCTATGTCCGAGCTTTGTATCTGAGCTCTGGTTCCAGGTTGCTTTCAGACTACAAGTCCTCTTTACTTGAGCAAGACTTTTTACTTAAACTTCAAAGATGCTAACAATGGGAGTTGTACGTTTGATACATATGAACATGTTGTTTCAAAGATGCGGGAAAAGATTACGGGTACTAATATAAATGAAACACATGTGCATAACAAAATAAAACGATTAAAAGATAAATATTCTGCCGCATGACATGCCCAACATGAGTGGCTTTGGCTAGGACAATGCTCGACAATGTGTAACAATTGATTTGCCTGAGGTTTTAGAGGAATATTTAAAGGTTAGTGTTTGTATTTCCTATGCTTATGTATATTCTTATTAATTACTCTTTTTTATATGTATAACAAATTAATTATGTTCTTTGTGCTAGAAACATTCGAACAAAAATCACACTGCAAATAAACCATTCCCTATGTATGACGGTTATCAATTCCGTAGTTCTTGATCTTTTCGTGCTTCAACCACTTCCTTCTTCACCCACTTCATATTTCGAGCAAGAACGTGTTGTCTCACGATGTAACTGTAAGTCCCACTTGGGATGTTTACACATAACTTCGTTAAATACCTTCAAATCATTAAACTTTTTCCCACTCGCCTCATAAATTTTGTGAGCTACGTTCTCAACATTTGTGTTACTCATTCCACTCTTTTTTTGACGGTATGCTTCTCTCTAAACACCAACCCACTTGCTTGCATTTGCTTTAAGCCAAGACTAACGACCTTTCATTTGATTTTTGTTCCGGATGCCTAGTCCTTCTGAACTTTCTACTCGAGTTGTATCATAGTGTTCTTTCAATCGTGAACATAACTTTTCTTTCTTTTGTTTTTTTCCACGAGTAGCATCTTCACTAACGAAGATCCATGCTGACATCATAACTGTATTTTCTCTCGTATCCCATGAATCAACTCGTGAGCCCTTTTGCGAAGTTTGGACATTTTCAGGGATAACAACATGATTAGCATAAAAGGGTGACTCRTAGTTTTCATATTGTGTGTTTGGGAAATTTTAAAACTTATTAGGATATTCAGAATCTAAACCATAATTTGGGTAGTTTGGATCTATAGTAGAAAATTGGGAAAAAAAACTAGAGTTTGATATYTTCAAGATGAAGAGAGTATTGGAATTRAGAGAARGAKTGGTGTGATGAAATATGTCAATATCGGTCTCTATTTGTARGGAATTGAAAAATATGTTGGTGTATTTTTTTGTTAAAGTTATTTTTTAATGTGATAAGATTTATCCTAAAAAATCTAAAACCAATTAATCAAGGAAGGCACTACTAAAAAATCTGGTTTTTCCGACGGATTTTGCCGTCGGAAAACCCCCCTCCACTAAATGCATTTTCCGACGGAATTTCCGACGGATTTGTATTTTCCGATGAAAATATCCGTCGTGCAATTTTTTAATATGTTATCCATTGTTCGGGTTAACTAGAAGTAATATAAAATGGGATTAGATTTACCGACGGAATTTCCGTTGGAAATCCGTCGGTAAACTTTTTCTATTTTCTTCCAAAATAATAACCAATTTTTATTTCAAAAATAAAAATAGCATTTTTCCGACGGATTTCCGACGAAAATTCCGTCGGTAATTATATTTTAAATTTTTTTTTCTAATTTAAAATATGAAAATATTTTTTATTTTTAATGGACAGAAAATATTTACCGACGGATTTTCCGTCGGATATCCGTCGGAAAATCCGCCAGAAATTTTTTAAATAAAACTTATATCTAATTATTTACCGACGGATTTTCCGCCAAAAATCCGTCGGAAATTTAGCTGGTACAGGACCAAAAAACCAAAATATAAAGATCATGTAATTAAATACAAATATACAATACATAAATATGTCATAAATACCTAATATGATTATCCGGACGAAATAATATACATATATAAATTCGATTGATGACGCTAGTTCATAAATACACTATATTAAATCTATTGCGGCGGGGTAGGCGGAAACTGTTGAGATTGTGTAAACCTCTTCATCATATCCATCGTGTTTGCATGCTCTTTCTTCCGGATCTCATCTTCCCTGTTTCGGATCTCTTCTCGGCGAAGAAGTTCCTCAACCTCCTGTCGGATCTCATTTCGGCGAAGAAGTTCCTCAATCTCCTTCTATCGGATCTCATCTCGAGTACGCATTTCTTGAATTTAGGATTGTAAGTTGTTAATTAACTACAAATACAATAAAACGTTAAAATTTCTAATAATAAGTATAAATGAAATAAATAAACATCAAAGGATAAAATTTTCTATAAACCTAAATTTTATAAATTATACCATTAGGATGCTATTAGACAATCTAAGTGTCCTATAAAGCCAAATTTATTGTAGTGACAAAGAATATACAATGTGTGACAATAATATTGCATAGAGTAGTGACAAAGAATATACAATGGTTGGTTTGTCTTGTAATTAAAATTAAGGAAACACTCAACATCATTATATATCACTTTGTTGAAATTAAAAATGGGAAATAATACATGCAGGTGGAAGAAGGATGCAGGCTCAATTCAGCAGACGAGATAGGAGGTGCAGTCCACCAGATGCTCAGAATAATTGAGGAGGAAGCTACCCTATGTGTTGATTCCATAAACTAGAAATAGCTACTTGTGTTTTTACCAATTTACCCCTCTGGGCTTCTGTAAAATTACCATAATGCCATCTTCTAGATCTCTCACTAGCTTGTTTCCAACTTTTGGTACACAGTAGTATTTTGCTATTACTTTCATCATGTATAATTAACAGTAGTTGACTTACATTTTCCAACATTACATTATATATTCTTTCAGCTATACATGACTGTTTGGTAGTGACTTAATAATATAGTAATCTAGAAAAAACCCTCCCAAACAAAATTGATATAGTAATCTAGAAAAAACCCTCCCAAACAAAATTCTTCTCAATCATACAGACAGATTAATCTATACAGACAGTTTTTCCATACAAGACTTGATGGAAAACCAACCAAAAAGCCTCTACAAGAACACTGCATTTATGTGCAAGGGATCCATTAACCAAACACAAAGAATGTGTCTTATGCACAACCAGAAGATATTCAAAGAAAGAGCATAGCAACCCATTAAATAAAACGGCTCCCCGAATAAATCTTATGATACAGGGCCAGCTGACCAGTGGCCACAGGAAAGTCATGACACCACTACCAAGACAAACTTGTAAGATGTTATACCAACCCTAGCCTGCATTCAACATATATAACCTGCAGGAAGGCATGCAGTGCTGAACAGGGATATCCTAGTGAAGTCCGCAAGGGAAGAGATGGAGACAGACAGATGTACATAGAGGTAAGAAAAACACCTGAATGTGTAGCAATAGTTGCTGTTGAGCCTGAAGATTTTGAGATATTTCTTCGCATATGTGATTATATTTTGTTATCTCCTTTCTGAAGAGATCCTCATATGAACCAGTGGACGTCATCAACTTCGAGAGTATATCATCCTAAAACCAATTAATACAATTACAAACCAAGACATTAAAAACAACTAGGAAGTGCTAAAAGAACACGTGCACGCACACACAAAGGGGACATTTGCATCTTGTCAAGCCAAGAAAACAATAACAAGTTTAATTTAAAATAAGTATCAAACCAATGGTTTGATGCAGTTAAAATCGCCAGGTTTTAGAGGTCCTGAGTGGTCAGGTATGCATAAAGACTGTATAATGTATTATTATGGCATGGTTAGAACAAGAAAGCACATAAAAAATGCATTGTGCTTCCATGAACTGGCCAACGTATTTTACTTTTAGGGTTAATTGGAATCTGTACCAAGCTCTCCCGTAAGACTAATAGCAGTGATCTATTCTAGCTTTTCTGCAAGACAAGTAGCATTGTACCTAGGATTGCAAACAAGTCAAGCTCGAGTTTGACACTATGCTGTTAGGCTAATCTCAAACTCGATTTAATAGCTCAACTTGACCACCACTCAAGGAAGATTCAAGCTCGATTCGAGAGCTAAAATAGCTCAAAAATATGCAGACTGTACTGTCTTAACTTAAATGAATCATTATGGATTATTCCAATCAGTCTTATTTTAGAGAAGGTTAAGCCTTTTGTTGGTGAAGGTTCAGTTTGTTATAATCTCATTTCATCTTTTCTTAATCTCCCAACCATTGATTATAATGGTAATTCTATAAGCTTTGCTGGTAAGATGCCATTAGTGGGTGAAATCACCAAGGTATGTATATATATTATAAAAAAGTTAATTATGAAGGTATAAATGTAACTAAAAGACCTTGTCTCAAAATCATCATACTTGCAAAGTTCAGTTCTTTTACTTTATTGTTTCAAAAAAAAGAGAACCAAATGTTGATATATTCAAAAGTCAATACGAAAAAGACGCAAAGAAAGACAAATCAGAGTAAAAAAAAAAGAGAACCAAGTGTGCAGATAGGATTGAGCCACCAGCTCACCATCCACTGTTCTTCTTCAAATCAGAGTCAACAAAGAACGCTTCAATCCCGACACTCGTCTCATCAACCTATTCATATATGAATAAATAATATCTGAATCAAAGCCCCACTAAATTCTGTGTTTTCTTGAAGCTAAAATATGGCAGGAGATACAAGTGAAGAAGCTACAAGACAACTCCATCAAACACCCACTTGGGCTGTCGCTGGTGTTTGTGCAGTCATCATCATCGTCTCCATAGCTCTAGAGAAAGTTCTTCACAAAGGAGTAGGGAAGCAGTAACAAAAGAATAGGGAAGCAGTAAACCAAACCTGTGTTCGATCTAGAAGCAAATGGAAGCAGTCAAGAGTTCGTGTTCGATAATCGGTAGGGAAGCAGTAAGTCAGTTCCAACTCGTCTTCGTGTTCCAACTCGTCTTCGTGTTCGATAATCGGTAGGGAAGCAATAACCGAGTGGGATTTCAGATTTGGGGGAAATCGGGAGCGGGATTGGGATTTCAGATGGAAGAAGCAAGCGGGAATTGGGAAAACACTTCTGTCCATTTCAGATTCATTATAACCTAACTCTAATACAATTTGGGCTTTGGCCCCTTTTTAGAAGATTCAAATTTCCGACGAAAAATCCGTCGGTGTTCCGTCGGAAAAAGTAATTTTTAAAATAAATAAAAAAATTCGTGAGAAATCCGTCGGAACATTTTTTTAAAATACAAAATATTTTTATAAAATTTTCAACAGATCTTTATATTTAAAATAGATTTTAAAGCAAATAGTATTCGTTAAAACCCAATTGATTGGAATAAAGCCCGTCGTTGATGCCTTTTTTTTTTAGTAGCGAGGACAAGTGTTCATGCATTTAAATTTAAAAAAAATGGAAGCAATCTCGCATTGGATTGTGATCAAGATCGGCCATTTTAGATTGTACTAGAAGCGTACTCGCGCAATGCAGCGAGATACATCGTGATTTTAATATTTCATTTTATTCTTTATCTCAGTCGATGTTATAATATGACTTTATGTGATTTTGAGAAATCGATGATGTTTTTATTTTTGAATAAAATATATGTTTAAAAATATCATAAATATTTGACAAAAATATATCGATATTAATATCAAATTAACTATTTGAAATTCCTCATTTTTTTGTGTAATTTTTTAATTCAATTTTTTTATAATTTAATTTATGTACAATAACGAAGTAATTTATATTTGGTTTAATAATATAATTGTTTTATAAAGACAATAATTATTTATTTTGTTGGAACTCGATAATTATTCTAATTATATTTTAGATTTTTTGTATTTTAAAATAAGATGTTCATCCTCTATTTGATTATGTTTATCCGCAGTTATTTATACAAATTCAAACATCGAGSTTTAATAAGTTATACTTATGCATAATTACTTGTAATCTTGAATTTTAAGTAATATGCATCAATATACAGTATTTTATGCATAACAAAAATATATCGATATTCGTATCAAATTAACTATTTAAAATTCATCATTTTTTGTGTAATTTTTTAATTCAA